CGAGATAGGACATCGATGATATTACACCCATATTCTGTTGCGATAATGTAAATGGTATCAAACATTTATGTCACGTTATAATGATATTTTAGTTTCGTTAAGAATGAAACTAAGGAGTGTTACAATTGTTATTATAGCATATATACAAACATTTTTATATGCATACCTGTTCAATCATAATTTGATATTATACGGATGTGAAAGCAGAAGTCATTGGCCCATGATTTGAATGTAACCCTAACCTGTGGATGACTGCATGATAAATTATCAACGAGATGGATTTAAAAGTTCAAGGTCGTGACATAAGACCACCCGTAATATTATAATTTGAAACGACTTATAATTCTGCTTTGACTGCATTTAAATCTTCCATGTATCATAAATTCATCATTGATTCCAATATAATGTATAATGGTAAAATTTATCCATTCAATTATGTCTAAGTCAATGTATCAAAATAAGGCGCATCAAATCAAGTATTATCAACATATCTGTTTGGTATCTCGTGAGTCATTCTGTTCGCACGCGCCCTGTCACTGTCTGCTTATCGCGATTTGAAATGGCAATGAAATATTAAAAACGATTGCAACCCCACACTCTAAGGGCTTGTTTGGCTTGATCTCAGGGTTGATCGCACATGCGATATATTGTGCTTGACTTGAGTTATAATTTTATATTTGGCCTTTCTAATTGTATAACCTTCAAAAACATTTTGGTGTAATCATAATCCTCAGATTTTTGAAGAAATGTCAGTAATAACATTTTTTTAGTATGGGGGAAATGTTTTTAACTAAAAAAACCTTGATGAAACACAGGGCATCCATCGTACTCGAAAAGAAAAACACCCAATTGTTCCGTCCGGATCACGTTGGAGAAACAAAGGCCTAAAAGCGGCTATGTTTTTACATCGCATTCCTATTTTCATTGGGTCCAATTGATAAGTGAATAGATATAATTTATTTTTATGTAACATTTTTTTATTGCTTGATTTATAATCTCTGTCCAAGTTATTACTTTAAATTTCAAAAAAAAAAGATTTTAACTTCAACTGTCTATAACTTATAAATTTGCATGCTATGACTAATATTTTTGCAACATAACTGTATTCTTTATATACAAATACCATTCTTTTTGCTTTCAAGCTTATAGTCAAATCATATAAATTTTGATAAAATTTAAAGAAATTAAACACGAGGAATGATAATAATCTTTGTAAGAACTCTAAGAATGACGTAAGTATAATGTTAAGTTTGTCTCATATTTTTTTAAAATAATAGTAAGTAGTTTCATTTTCGTTTTTATGTTTGAGATTTTTTTTTTATCTTGTTTGTTATTTATATTGCATTAAATTAGTATTATTCAATTTTATTAACCGGGTATTACTAATTATAATTTTTTTTTAACTATACGTTATATCTTTCTTAGGTTCTAAATATACACATAATTTCTTTAACTGCTGACTGTCGCTTGTGACTTGATTTAACGAATTGCATATTGGAGTACTCCCCGTTATGTTTAGCTGTTTGCGGAATTACTTTTTTTTAATTCCCGAGCAACACACGATAGGTGTTGTATATTCATTAGAATCGAGTGTAAAAGGAATTATTCCCTTTTAAACAATTACTGCTTTCCTTTAATCGTTAAAACAATTGGAAAGCTATAATAAGTTTAGTCAATCGAGTATTGCGTATTTTAATAATGTTTAGCATTGGAATGGTTACATTTTATTAATTATAAGAATATATAAATTTAATGTATAAATAATGGATGTGGACATATGATTTGAAAGTAAAATCAGTTAGTGTTCTTGGCCTAGTTACTTGTTTGTTCTATTTCTTAATATTTGTAGTGTTGTCTGCTCTTGAAGTCTTGGAAATAGAGTGCTTTTTATTTGCATATCATAAAAAACTAGTTTTTTAATTAGTGAATAAATATAGCTCTCGTCCAAAATTCTCATATTTATTATATAACTAAATATTACATACTATATTTGGAATTTACACCAAATACAAAATTTTTACAAAATATCATGACGAGTAAAAATTGTTCTTTAAATAGCTCTTTTTATTGGATTTAAAATGACTTTGCTAATGTAATACTAATAAAAATAAAGGTAAATTGTTTTTGTTGTATGTTTCAGTAATCAGATAAAATCTATGAGCATATTTTATTTACAAATCCCATACAAAACTAGCGTGTTCCTAATTAATTATACAATAACTCATGCAATTTGCTGAATCGCGTCAAGTTACTTAAGATAATTATAATATTCACACGACAAGTAACGTGACGAGCTGTTGGTTCGGTGGTCATTTGTTCGTAAACAATATACCATGCATGCGAGTTATTTTTCAACATAAAACTTAAACAATTTCTAACAATATTTCACAGTTTGATTTTAATAACAAGGCTCATGCGACATGGAATGGTTTTCTCTGACAACCACCAATCATCGTTTAAAATGAAATAACATTGTTTGTTACAGTTACTGTATGTTTAATAATACATTTTATGAAGGTGTAATAGAGTCTTCAATTCAATGGCGTCCGTTTTTGAGCAAAGCTGTCGAATCTGATTTCGAATAGGCAAGTCAAATTGAAGCTCAAAATGCATATGATATAAATTGCCGTAAAAATAACTGAGCTTGCAGGCAACAATTTAACAACCTAATTAATGACAATGTTATACAGTGTACAATATTTCACAAAGATAAAATTATATCGAAACAAAAGATACTCTGTTTTTTTTCGTATTAAGAAAAAGTTAACGTGACGGACATTTAGTGGTCAGTTTTTTCCTTTATGACTCGACACATTTCTCTCGTCTCACTTTGATGTAATTTGAGAGGGTTCCAGGCTCCAGACGACAACAGGCTTATACGATCATAGATAAGGCTAATTGAACTAAGTGATCAGGGAAAACAAACAGCCCAGTCATTCTGTATCTCAAAATAAATTACTATTCATTCAAAATCCATTTTTCAAATTAAAATTCTTTAATATATAAAAAAACATAAAACGAATTCTATTAGTTCCATTTGATCTATTACTTTTTTTTGACAATAGCGGAATAAAATGTGGCACGTCCAACTAAAACTCCCCTTCATGTAAACCGCAGGGAGATTCGTTAGTAGTTTTACATGAGAAATCCTAGCAGAAGTCGCACAAATGGCCGCGGCACGTGCCGAAACGCCCTGTGATACCAACGATACATTTTGTTATATCAAAATGTGCAAATGGAGTTTACCGCTAAAATCTGTTTTAAGTGAAGTGAATAAATATTTTACGATTCACAATCAAATAATCGCCGTTTTTGTAAACGAACTCAATACTACATAGTTTTTTGCTTTTATTAATATTTTATTTAAGTGTTAAAGTACGTAAGGACTGAACATATGTTAATCAGAAACTAGGGAATGTGTTTTCAGAAATCTTACAGTAAAATACCTTTACATTAAAATGGCGTATTTAATTATATGGAAATAGAAAGCGTCTTCTATGTCATTAAATCAAATTAATTCTTTATAGTCCTATTGATAAGGAAACCATAAGGACTGTTATCGTACCTATTTACTTATCCTTTATAATAATTATTATTTCAATAACAAAAAACATGTCGATAAAGGCTGAAATAGAATAAATGGCACAATTTGCCTTAAAATTCTTAAGTAAATTAATAATTTTCTTGAAATTAAATAGTTGAAGTATATATATACTTTATGTTACATATAATGAAGAATATTATATTAAAGACATTTGTAGATTATATATTTCAAACAATTTATTTAAACATATATCTTCTTGTTATTAGAGTAGATGACACATATTGTACATTTATTCTATTTAAGTTACAAAGTTTTATGATCTTGAAGTATATGAGATAAGTCACAGAATACAGCTTTAGCAAGTGTTTTGCAAAAATACTATCACGTGTCGTACCAGTGTATGTGCTTAAAGAGCATTGCACCCGGATCAGTGGTTTGTCTTTAGTGATTCCTTCTAGCACACTAAGTAAATTTTTTGAATTAAAATGAAGTCTTTTAATTTGAATTTAAATATGTTTTTAACTATTAAATAAAAAAAAGAACAACAGCTATAGTTATTGCTCGTGTATGTTACTAAAATTATTTCATTTTTATATTCATATACAGTAAAATACAGTTAAAACAAATATTTGGAAAGACGTTAAGTTATAACCATAATGAAAAATTAGCGAATAGTTTTTTTCAGCGGTCATTAATAAAGCGTTATTCACATCTCAAAATAAGTAACAAGCTATTTGCGGGGCCAATAAATCCCATGTATTCGATTGACACTATTGTTAGGACCCTAGCCGATAAATCAGGTTCATATTGATTGGCAGTTAGCGACGCCCTGTATAAATTGTTTTGTTGCCAAGGGTTCTTGATATTCATGGGGTCACATTCTTTATCATGTTAATGAATTTAGGAGGTAGTTTGGGCATTCATATCAATTTCGTATATTTTTTTAAACGAAGTTTATTTATAACTCGTCTAAAACTCCTTGCAAATTTATACATATTATACAGAATTTTGCATGGAATTCAACAATGTACGCTATTTTAAAATATAACCTTGGTTGATATGAAACTAAATTTCAAAAAGCAAAGTTAATTTATTAGTCTTTTTGTTACCATTATAAGACTCAGCTTCATCCCGTGTCACGGGAGGTTTGTTTCAACCATATGTTAAGAATATTCTCATTTGTGTTGACATTTTTATGCGTTTGTCTGCGTGTGAAGATCCGATATAATTGTTCTTTTATGACCCAACTTGATGCCAACGCACAGCGTTTAGTTCACGTTGACAGTTTCATGCTCAGTAATGTAATTTACTGCAGAGAGTTTTATGTTCGTAATCAAATTTAGGGAAATGTTTTTATGTCTATTTTAAACGTATTCAATTAAATACGCCATTATCTTGATGTATATATGTAGTATATTAGCAATGAATATATATATATTTATCACATATTTTAAATTTAATTTTGGATTAATTCCTCGGCAGGTACTGCTGCATAGAATTGTCTCATGCAGTCAACGACTTTGCCAATAATGTATTCAATGATAGGTTCTCCAACTTCTTGGATTATTTCGTTGCCATTGTCTTTTATTACTTCTTCAGCGGCTTTACCTATAGGAACATATAATAATTGTAATAATTGCAAAACATTATATTTTACCGTCAGCAAAATACCCATAGAATTATTAAAACATCAATAATTTGATCCTTATATTAAATTAAGGGATTTAAGTTAAAAACTTTTACAACTTGCTGACCTAAGACTGTTTTTAAACTTTTATAATTTAGTTGGCACTCACTTAAAACCTCGTTTCCATTAAAAAGGTTTTCGAATATAATATTCGATTTTTCTTTCAGTTCATATTTGTAGGACCACTTCGGAATAATCCAATGCTTTTTTCCATCTTCCAATATATTTTCGGCGACATCAGTTTCAATGACAAACAGGGCCTTTTCTGTATAAAAATAAATTAAAAGCATAAAGAAAGACTTTCCTTTTGAAATTATACTTTTGAAGATCCATTTTATCACGATGAGCATTGTTAAAATATAATTATACAATATTTTATTAAATTTGGTAAATTAAAATAAAAACGTATTATTACATACTAGCTTTAATACATTGACTTATTGTATTTGCAAGATAATTCGTTGAAGTGGAGGTTATAGAAATCGTCGGTTTTTAAAACTTTAATAACTCTATATTACAATAAAAATTTTCTAAGTTAAAATAATACTCAGAAAATTTAATAGAAAACTACCCAGTAGTTCAGCTGTGCTGCGCACTCAACCGTACACCACTATTATATTTATGTATTTTTTTTTTTTAAGTGTTCTAATTCTTCTATACGATGTAAACATATCTTCTCTGTCCCATTGTGTAAAAGAAATTATGCAAAAAATCGTTTTCTCGTAAGAGCGTGTACTAACTATAACGCATTGTTTAACTCTGTTGATATTTTGAATGACAGTCTTTTAAAGTATTCTCGTGTTTTGAAAAAGCTCATTTAGTTATTATATTTAAGATGTTTGTTTTTCTTTTTTATATTGAAATTCACTTTGGTTTGTAAAATGTTTTAATTCTTATAATTATAAGTATTTCTTTTTTTATGTTCACTCCATGAAACTGTGCAAAAGTGGAAACTTTGTTGGCTTATATAATTATTTTAATATGTGAAAACTATAATGATATTGTATATGCTGTTTGTTTCCCTATAAATAAATAAATAAATAAATATATTTTTTTAAATAAACGGTTCTCAGTGTGAATGAAATTTAAGTTTAGCTTTAGTTGAAATAAAAATAAGTGTTGGTTTTAAACAAATATTTTGTCTAAGTGTTACCGTTCTTTGTTATCTCTTAAGTTTAATAAAATGTTTACCAGACATTTGAAATAACTTACCTAAAGAAACATGATTTCTTCCATTGCCATTAATCGGAAGAATTAAAAGGCGACCGTCCATAACATACTGGCCCTCCAAATTTACAGAACACATGAGTTTAAACAAGATTTTATTCTTCTGTAAATCACGTCTGAAATATTATTTATATTGGTTATACATGAAATCATGTTTATAGGGCATTTATTTATATAACTTAAACTTTTACATAGAGTTTATTGCACAGTTTGAGATGTTTAAAACAAAAACTTAAGTTGGTTGGAAATGGTAAATTGTAAATTGTTTTATACTCGTGCATACAAAACAAGATTTCTCAAAATGATAAATTTAATATTATTTCTTTCTGGTTCCAAAATATTCATACAAATGTAAAGTGTTAGAGGAATATTCTAACAAAGAACTAAAAGAGCAAAATCCCATTAAAATATATCACGGGAATAACAACTGTAGTTTGAAATAGTTTGTGTTTGCTATACAACAATACAAAACAATATTTGTTGAAGTACTACAATATGTGAGCGAAAGAAAATTTAACACATTCATCAACAAGCAGTAGTTTGGCTACAAAATGTTTTACATAATCGTATAAAAGAAATTACTCACTTGGCTTTTTTAACAACACAACCCTTAAGACCTGTTAATGATATATCGTTCAAAACAAGTTTAAGATTAGGAGAACTCGCATTTATTGATTTAACAAAAATTGGATCGATTGGATCTATTTTCATAGATGGATCCCCCTCGGCAAATAATGGTATCAATTTTTGAGTAAAATCTTTCAGACATTTTGTGTCCTCATCCGTACATTTCGTTATTATAGACGCTGAAAAATGCAATTCAAACTTTAACTATTTAAATTCACTGAAACATATTTTAATAAAATACACATTAATTTTTATTTTGTGAAATTCAATAAAGAATTTTCTACGTTGCTTTGTAAAAATTGTTTAGTTACTAATATATTTTTATAACAACTCACCAACATTAGCTGTTGCGTAGGAAGTGAACAAAAACAAAGCGACGAGGCGGAGATACATTATCATCTAAATATTAAAACACACTAAAATCATTCTAGCAAAATTTATATATTTATATACAGTCAGCGATGATATCACAAATATTGATTTAAACACTCAATCTCGACAAACATGTTGGTTTGGTCAACAAAAGCGGACATACAAGTATTTTACTGTTTTATTATTGCAATGTAAAAATTAAACAATCACAGTTTATCAATTCATTTAGTGTATCTAAAATTAATCCTTTAATGTAATAATGAAATCAATTGACGTGTTATGAAAACCTGACTAAGGTAAGTTAGGTGTAGAATTATACATATGTTTTACACTTTAAATACCTTTTAATTTTAAAATATAATTATTATTGACATATGCTTGAATAAAATTAAACAACGAAGTCAATAAAACATTGTTTTATATGCTAATAAGAAGAATAGTGGAACTTATGATTTCTGATATTATTGATTTGGTGCTATGTACGAATTGTCGTTCGAGTGATATTTCCTTTTAACACCGATCCTTTCAAGCAACATTCCTGTTTAAAAATATCTCAATTATATTTAATGAATAAAAATAAATGATAATCTTTGAAACCAGATTAAACAAGATATTAAATTATGAAATGTATTTATTAAAGTAATGTAACCTTTTTTCGTTACGCGAACATATTTTTTATAAGAAACTTAAAAGGTTTTTTGTATGCAAATATATTGGGGGACTTATTACTGTATAAGCGATAATTATATTTTGAAACATCAGGTGATAATATTTCGTAGAAAATTATGGATTAATATCCTATTTATTTGTTAATAAAAACTTTAAAAACTAGTTTTAGTTTGAATTTATATTATACTATATCTTACCCATGGATTCAGATCTTATTCGCCGAATTTTCTTAGCACAAAAAGTAACCTTCAAAAAATATAAACGCTAATAGAAACAAAAAAATTTGCATATATAATATTACTGGGATGATTTTAAATGACTTTTTTATCAATGGTTTTATATAAAAAACGGAACACGATACTTGTTTTACAACAATTTTGTAAGCTTTTTTGTGAAATATGTACATTTAAATTGTTTATATTAAAATTATCTATTAAGTGAAATAATTAATATATATATGGGTATATTGTATATTTTCAAAACATTAATTCCTAGGTACTTTTTTGTCGTCATGAATAATGATGCCTTGTAGGCGTTAAATAGAAAAATAAACATTTTATTGTCCAAGATTATTCAGAGAATAAATAAGGATATAAAAATGATTGTAAGTTTTATGAATTAATACAATTATTTATTATTTTATAACCTTTTTTTGCCGTTGACGTGTGTATGTTAGCAAGTGTCTTTAGCAAAAGAAGGAAAATAAATAAAAACTTGTTTCATGTATCTAACCTTTATTTAAACAATTTATTAATCCAGTATAACTAATAAAACAATAGCAACATTTATAAAAATCTTATGATGCTTAGGCAATCTTTAGGTCGTCTAGGGGTACAGATTTTAGGTACTTATTCACATTGCTTATAACCTTTTTCTGAGTTGCATACCATGTGGGATCCTGTACTAGTTCAGCTACCTCTTGCCAGTTCTCGTGAGCGAATTTGTGAACAGCGTCAGCTAAAAAAAAGTTTGTTTTTTGTCACTTATTATCTGCAAGATTTTTGCGTTGGTGTGTGATTTTAAAATTAACACTAGAAAATACTTTTTTTTTTCATTAAAAAAAGTTAAACATATTTAAGTAGCGAGTTGGTTTATTATTATGAGTATATTATGGTTGTCAATTATTATAAAAGAAAAGAACTTACAAAGATCTTTTTGTCCATTAAATAGATTTCTGAAGTCATATTTAGTTGGAGATAGAGATTTGCACTTCAACTTGAAGTTTTTGATCTGCAAGTGGTCTTTTCCATCTTTACCAGGGGATGTTTTCAATTCAGCGTCAATGTCGATATGGTATTTGCCTGGATAACACAAGAATCAAAATTAATGTATTTATAATATTTGTAATATTGTTTGAGCATTATATGTTATGGACATGTCTTAAGATATAGAAAATTTATGGTTAAAAGATAAACTTATTTAATAACACAATATTAAATAGTACTATTTTCTTACGACATTTGTGATTTTCATTCTTTTCCCGATGTTTAATTAAAAATTAAAGTTTTGCATATCATAAACTATTACAAAGGTCTTTTATACATAATTGATAATAATTAATATTTACCTGTAATTAACTCATAGTCTCCACTTCCTTCTACCGGCAATATAACAAGACGACCATTAACATCGTATTTGCCAGATAGTTTAAGTTTATCACAGTCAAGTTCGTAGTGCAAATTTGTAATGTCTGGTGATACCCTGTAATACATGAATATTTTAGTTTACCTATTATAGTAGAGTTGTATTAAAGTAATAAAAAATGTACTTCAGTTAAAAATTTAGAATAATTACTGCAGAGAAAACATGTCTCGCAGAATAATTACGGCAGCATAAAATAAAAAATTCATTAATAAAGTTTTTAAAATGTTTATAACATTATCAAGTTAATGAAATTAGTATTGTGTAATTCATCCTAGGAATATTGTAAATGAAAAAGTTTTTAAAGAGGTTTTAGTTTTTGTATGTATATGTTATGTATTGTATGTATTTTGTATATATATATATATAGTTGAAAGCATGTTTGTTGCTATTATACACAAAAATATTAAACGGATTTTGTTATGTTGATGAAACGTATTTTAACTAAAACATCAGAATAAGGTATATAGTACAAATTATCCCGGAATGCTATATACTTTACGTGGGGTATTATAGTTATATTTTGCATGAAGTTACATTACACAATCTAGTCATATATGTCGTATCTATTGTTTTAACTTTTAATTTTTTATTTAATTCACGCGTACGAAGACTAGGATAAAATCATAAGTCATAAATTTATTATAAATAAGAGAAGTCTCATACATTTTTTTAAGTTGAATGAAAACAATATTTGATTTTTTAATTACAATTTCAATAGATAACAGCAAGATTCCAACCTGGAACCTCTGAAATGTCGTGTTCCAGATGCAATATCATTTCAGTTTTAAATTAACCCCGGGTCAATGTTTTTACATTTTATATCCAAATTTTTATTCAATAATTATACATGGCATTAGTGTTAAAAAAATATTTATGCAATGTTTTCACTCATTTCATTACGAAAAAAATATTTTGTTTTCCGCAGATAATCGTTTCATATTAAGGGCGAATATTAAATGACATTCGATTATGTTTGTACATTAAACACGCGAGGCTATTGCGACGCTTCCGCCAAAATAAGTAATTAAGAGAACAAAATCTGTAATAAGGTATAATTTGACACTTTTCAGTGTAAATTTATTATGTCCTTTAACATATATGTAAATAAATTTTAAGGACACTTAATTTTATATTGGTAAAGAATTAAGATGAATGATTTTATTTTTATAACTTCCGACATATGTATGTATATATTTACTTTTACCCGCGTAAATATATATTTACATCATTAACTTGTTCTCTGTTGTGATGAAGAAAATGAATTATAATTTTTATGTTAAGATTACAGTAATTAGTTGCTACAATTTATAAGCAGAGAGTATATGCAAAATAATAATTACAATTAGATGGACTTTGACGTCTCTTTAGCCATAATAATAGGTGTTTGTTAATGTATAGACAAATAGCAAAGAGACAAGTCATGTTGTGTTTTTTATCAACTCATAGTAAGTTTTTCTGCATATATACATACATACACACATACAGATATATACATATATACACACACATATATATATATGTGTGTAGCTTTCAGGCTTCCTCAATAAAATATGTTAAAATATGTTACTTACTTGATGTTACTAATTTTGCAATGTTTATAGCCTTCGACGGTGGTGTTGTAGAATTTATATTTAATTATAGACAAATTTCCTTCAATTTTTTCAACGAAGAGTGGATCCGAACTCTCTACTCCTAGCTCAGGAATCCCAGATAAAAGAGCCGGTATTAGAGCTTGGGTAGATTTGGAAATACAATCTCCGTCTGTCACTTTACATGGTGAAAATAGACTACCTAAAAATATGGATTGGTGAATGAAAATATCTTAGTCTCTGTCGATAAATATTTGCGCCTTACACGTTGTTATTTGGAGTTTTGAGGATTTTACGATGTCATTTGGAGTTTTGATTTATCATACACTTAAACTGTGTCTTGTCTTGTGATTTAACATTATAACTACTTTTTTTTCTACAAGGAAATTAGTTAATCTCACATTTTTTTACTGCACTGATTTACTTAAAATTTGAGTATATTGGATTTTTAAGTATCTAAATATTACATAACTAAATACAAAATGAGAAGGCTCTTTGCAAATTTAAGTATACACATAAAAAAATATGTAACTAACAACATTTATACTATTAAGACAGGTTGGACTGGTTTGGCAACCTTGGATATTAGGAAGAACTTTTTACCACAGCATTACTTAACCTTAGATTATAAAGTACAGACTTTGTGCGAATGAAATATTTCGATATTATTTGAAATTTTCTAATTGTGTGCATATCAATAAACGACGAATTTATCAACATTAATTTAAGCACTTTTTACTTTTTAAATAATCTTCATATTCTTTTAATAATATGTGAAAAAAAAAATATTATATGTTTACATGAAACTATTATTTTCGGTGTTACTTTGCTCATCCTTTATTTTATGTTTTTTTAGCAAAATCTCGTCTTTACTCTTGCCTGCCTGTGATCATGTTTACTCTTAAGTTGTTAAAACTTAGGGAATAAATATAAATTACTAATACCGGAAAGAGAAATACAAAAATCATAGCTTTATTTATATGTAAACCAGCTCTTTCTTGGGCTTTTATTTTTATAGTCTTCGTATGTCCTTAGTCTACGTATATGGACTAAAGGGCCTATTTTGCCTACAACCTCAAGAAATCCACTGCTATCATTTTAGAATCGATTAAGTTGTTATAAATAGATATATGGATATTATAAACTTGTCATTAGTAATCTCAAGATTTGCGTATACCGTTGAAAATCTACGGAATGACATAGAAGGACAAATATGGTTATATAAGATTAAAAAAATATAACAAAATAAATTTTTGTATAATACAATATTATGTCACCTTCTAGATTATTTTCAAACTTTTTTCTTTATAGATACAAAAACCGTAAAATAATTAATACACTTAAAATCATCGACTTATCAAATTATTTTTTTCCCAGTGAATACTTTCACATTAACATATTAAACAAAAACGTATAATAAAAATAAAATGTCCTTAAATATTCTATAAAGAATATGTATAACAGTTAAGTATTTAAAGTAATTCTGATATCAAAACAATATATCTAAAATCAGGTTACTAAATATTTTAATTTGTAATATACTGACTGTTCCTCATTTATGTTTTCAAATTTATAGGGGTATTAAATTATACAATTAGAACAGAAAAAAGAATGATATAACTCATACTTTTTTTCTGTTATGATTCACATCAAAAAAAATAATTATGATAACTCAAAAATGTTTTTTCTTTCTAAAACAATAATTTTAATTATAATTGTTTTGTTGTAGGTTCAAAGACGTGTAGTTGTCATATTAACATATATAAAATAATAAAATAACTTACTTGATAGAACACTACTTGAAAAACAAAGGATCAAACACACCGTTTGTTTATACATGATGTCTTTCTTGTTTTGGTACCGTGTTTACAATGATAAAGAAGTCAAGAATTCAAACTTATATACTACAAATATCTAGCTACGGCCAAGAGTGAGGTTGACTTTTATACAGCGGGTTCTAAATAATTTTGATTTTATGACATTGTCCATGCCTGACTAGTTTTGTTTAATATAAAAAACGTAATAACATTAATATTTTTAAGTGGTGTCATCCTAAAAATTAATATAATAAACTCAGTTACAAAAAAATATGTTATGTTATTGTTTAAAATTATTTCTTATCCTATTTTATTAATATCTTGTTTCGAAATTATTTTTTATTCAAGTAAACTATCAAACCCCTCGCATGATTTATCCTCATAACAGCAAAAACTGATTTTTTCAATAGCTGTCAGTGGTAAAAAGGAAAAATAGAATGTACTAACATAAGCATGATAAGCAAGTATATACAATATCGATGTTGTTTTAAATATTTTATCGTGAAATATCTTCCAACCTATTTTCTGAAATGATTTCTGATGAAAGTTTTAACATTTTGTCGCCAATTCATGTGTGTTTGCGTTAAAATTCTTTGATTAACTTTTGCTCTTAAGAGATTCACAAAACAGAAGATGACAGGATGCTTTTCTTTGGATTTAGTTTGTAAGATTATTGTGTACAAAGATTTTCTAGTACAAAGAAGAAATTACATTTAACATAACTTTATTAATTAGAATGTTTATTCCCTTAATCTAATCTACCGATATTAATATAAATTTATTAAGAAACAAGAAAAAAGTTTAAGAAGATAAATTACGAAAAATAGTAGACGAAAATCGAAACACATTTTTGTGAATTTTATTTGTTATATCATGACTCTCAGAGTCATCCTGTCATTATATTTTTATTAGTTTATTATCTTTCTTTTAAGAAAGAAAAATTATAAATTTCGAATTAGTATATTAAGTGGAAAGAAGTAGCAAATTGGATAATTATATTCTAAAACTTGTTTATGTTTTTCTTTTCAACTATGTATATATTAAGAAACAGTCAGTGGTGGCCTAGTGGTTAAGAGGCCCGCCTCTCATGCACGAGGGCGCAGGTTCGACCCTGGCCCTGGCAAGTACCACTGTGATTTTTCCGATTCATATGTACTTTCTAAGAGTATTTAGACATCACTGATTATCGCATTCCCAAAGAGGGTTGATGTCAGGCAGGCTGCCGGTCGTAAAAACAATTATCCAAAACTATTCACAAACATGGAAGGCAGACCCTGGCTAAAGCTGGAAAATTGCCAATTAGAAGTAAGTATGTATATATTAAGATAAAAATATTTTCTAACAAAAAATATACATACAAATTTTGTTTTGGTTAAGGATCTCTGTTATGCATATGTCTGTATTATTAGAGGATTACCTTCATTAGTACATATTACTTATACAAATTACAGTATATTATTTTTATGATCATATTTATAGGCATATCTTTTGAATACATATTTTTATAATTTTGAGACATCTGGTTTGATTGATGACTCTCTTTGAAGATCTTGTTTATTTCATTAAGTAAGACCAAAAGTGATCATTTATCTTTTGTTCGAAGAATTCAAAAGAAAAAGAAGAATTCAATGTCTACAAAAAACTATTATAAAGAAAACATCAAAAATTAGTTTGGAGAATAAAAATGAGACAAATCCCTGAATATACCTTATATTCACAGGGATTTACCTCATCTCAGTGCCGCGGTATCACTAGGAAAGTTGCAGAAAACCACAGTCAAATGAAATGAACTCTTTCTTGTAATAATGTTTTCCTCTAAGTATTCAGTTATCGTTATGAAAATGGCTGTACTGGTAGCTGGAGGACCAGCGCTAAAGATACGATTATTGTAAGTATACGCCCGTATTGTTATAGTTTATATTGTGATAGTTTGTTTCTGAACCTAGGAATTGCAAAATCTCCACCCTGAGAGGAAAAATTTAGCCGGCTAAAAATATCACTGGAGTGGTAGCAATAAAAGAGTAGGAGACCAGAATGTATGTAGACTACTGCTGCAATAGATAGGAACCAGCATTCCTTCTGTACGCCGAGTTAATAAATGCCTAACCTTAATGTCTGATTTTCATATTGGATTCTATTTCCATTTAAGTTTCTTAGGTAGCTGAACAGTCCTGAAAGAAACCAGTATATTCACTTAACTTTTTGGAAACCCTATTTACTGTGGTACCATAGTTCCAGGAGACTTTCATTTAGAGTATTCGAACCTGGTCCATTTTTTAAATTTCGGAATTAATTACAAATAATCCCGGAAAAAAATCCCTGCATTATTTAAGTAATGAAACATGGTAACAAAAATATAGCAAAACACATCAAAACAATTTCTTCTTGTTAAGGAACCGAATATTTAAGTTTTGAGTAAGCGAAAGGGTAGTAAAAAAATTATAATTTCTTTTTGGAAAAAAAAACTAACACACGAAATTTGTAAATATAATGTATCAAAGTTACAATAAACTTAAAAAATCAACTTCTTTAAACTAATTTGCATATACTATGTATAAGGAAAATTTAATCGTATAGAGGTCAATGTCTATATGTCGTTACTCATATTTCTAAATGATATGACTTGCATATAATTTAGAAATATAAGATCCCGTGATCCCAGCCATATTTTAACCATCTACTTCCTTCATTCAATTCTACTATTGAAGGCTTCCATAAGTTCAGGTAGTATTAAACCTGAGGAGGCCTCAGGCTTGATTGCCACGGAAGTGGATAAAACAATTGTTTTTATTAACATTGTTTATAACATTTCTTCCCACGAAGGTGGTGCGTTAGTATACAAATAATACCGTAAATATTTCATATTTTTTTCCTTTTAATACTTTTTCCGATTGCAACAGAGTAAAAAACGTAATTGAAGAACCACATTAACCAAAATTATTTTATTAATATTAACTTAAATAATTATAGGCTCTTCAAACACATTGTTTTATGAAAAATATAAAAACTACTTTCAATCCTGCATATGTTTACATTTTATGTTACAAGACACATATATATTTCATTTACGTTTATTTTGTAGTAATTAGTAATTTCAATGCAGTCCTAGTGTCAAGGACAGCTACTCTAATTAAATAGTAACAGAATACACCTAATTATAAAAATAATAAACATTCAATGTTCCGTACACAAGATAAGTATTGTCAGGTACATTTGTTAAATACAAGTGACATACATACGTTTAATTTTAAATGCAAGCGGTTGCGTTTACTTTAATTTATTCTACATATTTAATTATAACTAGTTCATAAAGTTGTTTTTAATAAATCATTTATTAGTTTTGAATACTTTAACACAAAGAGAGAAACGACTACCAAGTAATTGGTGCAATAATTGCCACTAATTATTGAATAGAGGAAAATATAACATTATTATGTATAAGTCCTTTATGACTCAGGTTATAAACACCTTATACAGGTTTAAATAGTAAAAAAAAATGTATATGATTTCTATAAAATTATGATATTGTGTTTCGATTTTTATATAAGAATGTGAAGAATTGATAAAAAGAGTGATATGTTTTATAAAAAACTGTGAATTTTAAGTCCTATACTTTGAGATAGAACAGAGGTTATATGTACATAAAACCAGTAAAGGGCTTTAAAATTTATGTTAGTGTAATATTCAAATTAATTATAATTTAAGCAATATTGTTCTACTTATACGTTATTATCGGTATCATAGCTTATTATATATAGATAAATTATAACGTTATCTCTATATAATAAGTTTATTCATTGCTTAATATTTGTTGTAAGAAAATAAAATAAACGTCTCTATAGTACTGTTGAAAACTTCTTAACTTTTTTGGACAAGATATTTCCGTTATTTTAGTTCTAGTTACAGTTCTAGTTTACCTCTTTCTTTTTAAGGTCAAGTATTAAAGGTCTTTTTTTTATTAAACGATATATAAATTTTTAAATGAGTTAAGGATTATTAAATTTTTTCATGAAAATTCTGCCAAATACCCATCAATCTGGGTATACAACAAAAGTTGGGCTTTGACTCGACTAAATCAGAAATATGCTTAGATTGCTTTTATTATTACATCATCACTGTGATGTGGTTTTTAAAACACAAAAAATCGAAGTTATAGGTATTACTTATGCTGCAGTGACTTTTTTTTTATCGAAAACTATGTCACCATACAATAAAAGAGATTTCTTATCCTGAACGTATTTACAATTCGTTTGTTGATACTTTTCTATCCCATCCTTTCGCGGAGTTAATAAAATTATCTATCATTACACAATTTAATTTCAAAAGTCTGTTTTACCATTTTGTTTAACTTATATATATGTTTATACTTAAATTGAGACAGAAATGTATATCTAATTATGTTTTTTATTGACAGATAGGTTGAATACATTTTTTTTCTTTTCAGTTAACTTTTGATAATACGCAGTAATATATTATGTTGTTTGTAAAAGACTTTAAAAAAAGACCATTTTAATTGGTGTGTATAATTTTTGTATATCTAAATAATCGAATAGCTTTCATTTTGTATTATTTTTCTAGTTTTCAATAAAGTGGCTATATAAAGTGATATATTGCACAATGGCTTTATATAACCTTAGTTAAAGGTATTTGGGATAGATAAAAAAAAATCTTCTCAATTATGGTTTTGATTACACTAAAAATAAACTATGATAAGTAATGGTCTTTAACGAACTAGAAAAATATAATAATATCTATGTTGAAAAAGAAACTTTGTGGGCGAAAGAAAAGAAAATTACTTTTTATGTTCGTAATAAATAAATTTGAATATGAGATGAAATTATACTATTGGTTGAATCTCAAGGACTTTAATTTCTCAGAATTAATTAACCTATCACTAAGAGAAAAATATATGAAAGACAACCGTATCCTAGACTTCATTTCATAAATATGTTTTTTTATAAATACGTGGATGATTAAATCCATTAAAATTAAAAAAAATTAGGGCTATTAAAATTTTCCTCA